CTATGTGATGGCAGATTACATGTGGAAGAGGCTGGGTGATGTCAGATTACATCAGTAAAGGGCTGTGTGATGGCAGATTACATCAGTAAAGGGCTGTGTGATGGCAGATTACAAGAGGAAGAAGCTGTATGATATCAGATTACACCAATAAAGGGCTGACTGTGATGTCAAATTACATCAAATGCATAACTATATTGAGTGCTGGAGATGAGGATTGTGGTTCTCAAGGAACAAGGTGATTTACGTTGATGCTGGTGTAGATGTTGCTGCTGGTGGCAGCGTCCCCGGCACCATGGCTGGGTGCCACGTGTACAGTCTGTTGCATAATATGTTCCTTGCCTTGGGCTTTATATTGCACTACCCTGTATAGGTTACTTAATGTAGTTGAAATTGAAAATATGATCATTGTGTGAGAAGGTGAGGCAATTACTTAAGTAGTCATTTCTCAGAGGAGAGTTAATTGACATCAAGTGGTTAGTCAGAGCCTTGATGTATTTATTAGTGTTGTCATGTTTGGAAGATTGGCAGTATTTTATTATGACCATAGTGAGTTTCATCATTGTTATCTGTGATTCACAAAATTTTTGCAAATTCAACATCCAACCTAAAACCCAGTTGTGTCTGTTGATGATTTTTATTAGTGTAACAACAGGCCATATTATGTAACCAAAACAGCAAATACTAGTCATCAAGCCCTGCCCACTCGACTGCATCATGTAAATTTATTAATGTATTGCACTACATATTCTTGAATTCATTGTATAAAGTCTTCAAGCTATACAGACTTGTACAGCATATATGACGAGTGAGAGAATCCATGTACAGTGGACCTTGATGAAAGAGAGGTTTTGGTAGTATACTATATAATGCATATTTGGATTAGTATACTACTAACTATGAATAAAAGGCATTTGCAGTTGATGATTGTTTATTGTTATCCATTTCTCTTATGATCTTTGTAATATTCCATTTTCAAAAGCTTTAGACAGTTTGACTTTAATTCTGACCTTGTGACAATTTCTGTATGCATTATAGATACTTATAGGCTGTGTGCTACATTTTTTTTTAATCTTAATATGATTGCATTCAGGGTGATTCAGTGAAATTCATTGTTTTGCGGTACAGTATATAAAAGGGGATAAGAGGGTGTTATAATTTCTTTTCAAGAATCACAGTACTGTATATGAAGATTTTTACTTATCGTTGCATATAACTACAAGGTACTTATTTTACATTTATTCCTGTTCAAGATTTGTGGGCACTTGTAACTTTTCAGTGATTGGTCTCAACTTCTTTATAAATTTACCACAGTTACCAAATACTGTATATCATTTATTACCAGTTTTGATAAAACATCTTAAGACTTTCTTTTTAATACACAAATTTATTATTAACGACATTTACCATCAATACTTTCTTGTGCCCCAAAATCTGCTTAATGAATAATTATGAAGGCATTTTCAATTGTGTGCTACTATGATTTATGCAAATCACATTTATTTGTTCTCTTACCCTTTAAAGATAATGGAAACCTTACCATAACTCATAATTCTTATTAGATAGAATATCATGATGTTTGTGTTCTATACAATTGCTCAAAAATTTTGTTTTTCTTTTTCAAATTTCCTTGACTAGGATTGGTCAAGTAAAAATCACTCAACAATATTTGTTAAATTTTCTGTTTATTATTTCATATTCAAAATACCTTCTCTATAAGTACAGTACTGAAATCAAGGGTACAGTACTCCCACTCGGAAACCCTACACATCTTGGCACATGACTCATTCTTTTTACAATGCTGAAATTAAAGACAAAGGTGAAATTGGGTACCATATATCTAATGACTGAATAGGGACAGTGTGGAAAAGTACCTGGCACACTAAGCCATCTGTGTACAAGTAGCCAATATGGCTGGCACTGTTCTCGAATGCCTTCACTTTCCTAACTGTAAAGTTTGGTACCCGTTCATAGCTGAGTGGACTAGGAGTGATCAAGGCATAACCAATGACCCTAGGATAGGAAGCAAGTGCTGTATACAATCGGCCTCGGCACTTACGAACTAAAGTAAATGAAGATAAAAGTACAGTATTGTATAATGCAAATCTTATTTGTATATGCAACAATGTTAACCCTTTTGCTGGCCGATGACACTATTGGCATCACTACAAGGGCCGTGAGGAGGGATATGTATCCCTTAACCCTAAGCGCTCACATTGGCCAGACCACTTGCACGATGACTCGGCACGTAAGATATTATCTTTCCACACTTATTTTCAGCCAACTCATATCATTTAAACAACTACAGTATTTTGTTCTTTTATCACTTTGTTATAGCTTTTCTGGGTGATGCAGATAGCTTCATCGGCCAGTCTACAGGTGAGATTGGCGATGTCTAAAGGCGAGATTTGGACCACACGAGCAGCCAGCGAAAGGGTTAAGTATTCAGTACTGTAAATTGTGGCTTAATTAATGTTGCACAAAATACAGTATATGTATGTACAGTTGGCTCCACTCTTACCATTACCACTTAGTGTTGCCAATCCTCTCTCTTCTTGAGGTGTGAACCCTGAACTGAAGTGTGAATTCGAAGCATTTGCTAGTAAGCGGGAAGAATGGAGGGTGTGTCGGGGTAGGTGTCTTTCTGTGGGGTGCAGGAAGGAAGGTGTACAGTATATCAGTTGGGATGAGATTACAATGCAGAATAACTCTTAGTTAATACCAATGGGGTTTCCTCGGCTGAGTGTAATTGTCGGGAGCTAGCCAGATGAAAACACTAAAGTTACAATAGGATGAGAGGAGGATGAATTCATGTCGGGGAGACTTTGACTAAAATTATAAAATTCCCAGATCTTCATGAATTTCTTACAGGATGTACAGACCCATTTTACAATGCCTAAGTTAAAATATCAGGTCAAATGACCAAATAGTTAGGCTATAAAAAAATATAGTAATTTTGCAATTTTTTTAAAAATGCAATTCTTTAATTTTTCATCAGGAGTATTTTCTTTTTATCCCCAGATAGTAAAAGGCCAAAGTAAAGATCTGAACTTTTTATTTTAGTCTATCTCTTCATGTTATTAGTTTAGAGTAAAACCAAAAGTTTAATTTGTAGCCCTTGACACGGTAATTCCAATGCACTTGAGACTTTCAAAATTGGTTAAACCATTTTAGAGGAATAGCACTCTAAATTTTAAAAATACCAGTTTTAAGATAGTGGTCATCAAAAAAAAAAAAATCCCTATAACTTCAGTACTTATGAAACAGTGTTTGGAAAGGTAAATCTCTTATTCTGCAAGTTATGCTGACTCATATCTTGCAATTTCCTGACTGATAAATGAGTTTCAGACACCTTGTCCCTCCATTATCATGTAATATTATTCCCTTAGTGCTTAGTAGTTGCCAGCGGAATATTCTTCTGACACATTTTTAGCCTTCCTCTTCATTCTTGCTGGTCTTGTTTCTTGAAACCTTGGAAAGCTGCATCTTTGGGAAAATCCCACTGCTGTCATAAGTGAGGCTTGTGCATAACCAAAGTTGTGATCCAGATTGTGACTTGGGTTACAAATTTCGTGCTATTGTAACCATCGAATTTAATCTTGTGAATTTTGCTCAAAATTTTTTAATGTAAACTTTCATTTAGGTTTTGAGTGTAGCCCTTCAGACATCTTTCAAGCAGCACCTTCCTTGTCAGGGCTTCGTAAACACTTCTGACTTCCACTAAGTTGTCATTTGCTCTTCTCAAATAAACCTTCATGGTGCTGTGACTGAGTGGAGTGTGTTTGTTTGGCATGGCTTATTTGTAAAAACACCATGAATCTTACCATCTGGGCACAGTTTATGTGGCTCTTCGTCAGTGCTTATCACATGATAATAAGTAGCCGTCACACTACACTTCATTGTCATAAAATCAGTTTTCACAGAATTCCTAAAAGCAATGCCATAGTATTTGGTCAACTTGTCTATAACATTGTCTGTGACTTGTTTTTGCCCAATTTGTATTTTTCTTCATCATTTCAGTCTTGGTCTCTACTATATCAACTTGATCTTGCTTCAGCTTTTCAAGTCTTGTCCCGAGTCGCTTTAAGACATGATTAATTCATTCTTCTTTTGTTACGGGGGCATCATAAGACCCTATTTATTATTGAGCTGGCATACAGCATTGTGTGTGCTAGAGTCCCTTGTCTCCTACGAAAATTGTGTACTGCAGCTTTTCTCCAGTGACCTATGCCAGATCTTTACAGGAGCTGCAACCTCCATTGCCCCTGCAATTCCATGAAAAGTATTGTGGCAATTAACGATGTTTGCCTGCCTTCCATGCTTCAAAGTCATCCTTACCCAGCTTCTTATTCTTTAATGTACACGCAAGACAACAATTTGAGAAAACCTCAAAATCTAGTATCGTCCCGATGTTTACTTCTATGATACATCCAACCCCAATATGCGATTTATGCCCTTCCCCCTAGTTAACCAGGATATATAAAAAAGAACTTAAACATCTAAAACTACATCTTTATCTGGTGTTACACCAGGTTCTGTCTTGTACTGTACTAAAAAATTCCTTCAGATACTTTCTTCAGCAGACGAGGGTAATGCTGGTCCATTTCATGATAAGGTAGGAAGTATAGGTGTTGTACACCCGCAACAAAAAGTATCGGTGCATACTGTAGTGTGAACAATTTGAGACCAGTGACGATAGGTATTGGGAAAGGCGAGTTGTTCCAGCCGTATGTTGGCAGCCTGTAATCCTGCTGAGCAGCTACTATGGCCTGGTCAAGTGAAACAAACCGTTATAAATAAGGTCGGGAAGTGATAAATAGACAGTATGAAATATGAGGAGCTCCCTGTTAACAAAATTATTTGTGATACTTGTGAATATTGCCACTTTAATTTATGCTACCAAATAAACCACTCAACCTGGTCGTCCTGAGGGGTAGTGCAGCGTGGACGGCCGCTCCGAGACCTGTCGTTTGTAGCACCAGTTTCGAGGTATCGCTGAATCCATCGTGCAGCGGTGTTCCTGTGGACACCAACCCTCCGGCTAATATCTGTGACGCCGAACCCTTCATTATGAAAGGCAATAATAGCTCCTCGTGTTCCCTCTAAGGTTTCCATGTCGTCTGGCATGTGTAGATTTCTACTGCTTCATATTGCCTCTGTTTATACCCATGTTCACCGAGACCGAACCCTCGCTCATCATTCAGTCGACACAAAGCAACAATCCGAAAAGAGAAAACAAACACACTGATTGCCAGCCATATGGCAACACCTAGTGGGGGGTATGAGGATGCACTTCCCAACCTTCCCGACATATCACAGTGTATACGTATCGTTTCGGAAGTCGTCGATCACACCCTGCACCGATATTTTTTGGTGCGAGTGTACCTCCACATTCCAAAGGGCTCCATTCCAAGTGCACATGACATTCTTGTAAAGCAAGCATAACCAAAGTTATTAATGAGTGACTGATAGACCATTTATGCATTCGTGCCTGTAATACAGTATTTCTATTCTTGTGGAGAGGTGATACAAATCATGTTGGTTTCTCATAACTCAGGTCAGCTTGACAACCCTCACAGGTAACCAATATATTGGAGTTAAAGCCATTTGGTGATGTGGTTTGGTAATTTTCCCACCACATTATGGCAGCAGAATTTCCCAAGAAAAGATTCCATTTTTCTTGTCAGGTGTGGCTTCAGATGTATGTGGTTGTAGCGAGACAAGTGTGAGAGAGGTGGGTCAAGTGTTGGGGTGGTAACTTCTGGTACAACTGCTTTGGCTGGTATTTTTCTTTTCTTCAAGCATTCTTGCATTTTCTGACCCTTCTTTCTTGTCTGAATGCTTGCTTTGCTCCTGCATCTCAAGTCTTATACAGTAGTATCCTATGGTGAAATTATTGGAAAAATCGGAGCAATGGAAGTGGCTTAAATTTCAAGAATTTTCATTTTTTTTTTTATGGTTTCAGACAATTTTATGCTAGAAGAGACCCCATTACAATTAATAAAACAAATCCATGCCAGTGAAATGAGCCCTAAATTATTTTTCATTTATTTTTCGTCAAAAACCTCCGTGGCTGAGCGTAAGTTTTCATGCACGTATGTGTCTCAGGCTCCGAGGCTGAGAGAGTTAACCTACACCACAAAGATGCCAGAAAACTGCTTTTTGAAGCGAGATAGATTGTAAGAGGATGGAAACACAGAAGAAGGCAGAGCATTCCATAGTTTGGCTGTGTGAGGAAAGAAGGATTATTCTAGTGTGACTAACATCCACAGAGAAATGGTGGGCACCACGGGCAAGATAAGTGTTATGAGCCCACTGCCTTGTCGGCGGTACACAGGATGCCAACCCCACCGAACATTGCCCGTTAAAGTACCTGAAAAGGAGAGAGTGAAGCAACATTGTGGCGGGAGAAGCAGCGAGAACGATGGACACGTGCAACCCTCTCACTTGTCTGAGGAGCAATGAATTTCTGAATAGCTCAGTGAGCTGAGATTGGACTCTTATACAGTCACTGCCACTGCATCCCAAACTAATTTTGGTCTGGTAAATATGGGTAGTGTATATGTTTGGTAACTTTTGCTTCATGAATCTTGAGTTTTGATGGAAGTTTATCAGTGATTTTTTTACCCATTTAACTTCATTGTCTGGCAAACTGAATTATGTGGTTTGCTGATTCTCTACCGGTCAGCTGCCAAGTAAACTATTTTTGTTCACATCAAGTTTGTATTACAATAAATATGTGGTGCCTACTTCCTGATTTTTTTGTTTGCTAATTAATCCCTTCACTAAGATGTCTTCTAACCTAATGTATTCTGGCTACCACCAGACGATTTTATTCAGCTGGGGAAGTTCCATCTCGTAGTCAAGGGGTTAGTAAATAAAACTTAATTTCACTTTTACAAGTTATAGAGTCAAGCAGATCCATAATCCACAGAAAATATAAATATTCCCTTTTGCAAAGTAACACCTTACTTAGAACATGAATTCATCCTCCTTTTATCCTCTTGTAACTTTAGTATTTTCATCTGGCTAGTGCTAAACTATTACACCCAGCTGAAGAAACCCCATTGGTATTGTCAAAGTGTAATTCTGCATTGTAATCTCTCCCAACGGTTATACTGTCCACCTTCCCTCCTCACTCCCACTTAAAATCTAAATAACCTAACTTAAAACAAATATAAACTAACTTAACCTCATCTATCCTAACCAAACTTAACAAAATCCACTTAACCTAACCTAGCCTAACTTAAGAAGCTAACCTAACCAAACCAAACAAGCTCAGCTATCCTAACCTAATATAAAAATAGTTCACAAATTACAGGTACGTACTTGAAAAAAATCACAAATTGCCTGAAAAAGATTTGGGTACAGTAATTGCCTGTTCTTTTTTTTTTTTTTTTTTTTACAAATTACCTGTATAAAAACTACTTTACTTTATAAACAATACAGTGTTTTTTAATATTTTAACATTTAAAGTGTCTAATTTTTTTTAGTTATTTGATTTAAAATCAAACACGCATGTAGCAAAAAATAAATTGTACTGTGTACCATTGTTAGTTTGTTTGCTATTAAATCATTTAGACGAAGCCTTTCATCTGAACCTTTGCCACCTAGGAAACTTGTGACTGCATTAACCCTGCTGTAGAATATACAAAAATATGTAAGATATGCTGTACAGCACTGTACTGCACTTAAAACAATATCCAGTACAGATACGATACACACGTGTAGGATGTATACAGTACTATACACTATAATATGTAGGATGTAAAGTACCAGTATGTATTAAATGTAGTGTAGCATACTAGTATGCACATGCACAGGGGGATGCATGAGGACTTGAGTATTGTACCTTGTTCTTTTTGTTTCCATGTCAACGGCAGTCGATAGAGTTAAGAAGAAAACCCAGAAATTCAAGGCTTGGGTTAGGTCAAACGATAAGCAGGACAGGAGGATGTATGCAAGAGCCAGGAACAAAGCAAAGTCAGAGTGTAGAAGGGCTGAAAAGGAGTTCCAGAGGCTGGTTGCAAGCGAGGTCAAGTGAAACCCAAAGGCGTTTTACTGCTATGCAAAGTCGAAATTAAAAACGTGAGTAGGAGTATCAGACCTGATGCTTGAAGATGGTAGTTATGCAGATTCTGACCAGGACAAAGCTGAGGCATTGAACAGTTTCTTTTCCTCAGTATTCACAAGAGAGAATGTGATCAATCGTCCTGCGTCTGAGGACAGACGGTTCAACACAGTACTGACCCACAGTGTGTTCACAGAAGGTTATAAGAAATAAACTGTCAAAGCTAAAGGTTCATAAGAGCCCCAGCCCTGACATGGTGCATCCCAGAGTGCAATGAGAGTTGTACAAGGAGCTTGCTGAGCCCCTGAAGATCCTGTTCTGGATGAGCAAAAGGTCCCCAGTGATTGGAAAACGGCTTCTGTAGTCCTATCTTCAAGAAGGGCGATCGTCACTCCACGAATAACTATAGACAGGTAAGCCTAACCAGCATAGTATATAAAGTACTTGAGAGCATTATAAGAGATAACATGATGCAACATCTACTACAAAACAACCTTGTAAAGGATTCCCAACACAGTTTTATGCTGGGGCGCTCCTGCTTAACGCAATTACTCAGGTACTGGATGTTTGGACCCAAATTCTGGAACAGGGTGGTAATATCGACAATATATACCTAGATTTTGCCAAGGCTTCCGACAGCGTACCTCATGAATGGCTGAAAATTAAACTGAAAGGGTACGGGATAAGGGGAAAAGCCCTAGCGTGGATCGGAGATTTTCTCCTTGACCGCAAGAAGTGTGTGATGATTAATGGCACAAAATCATCCTGTGTACCCGTCACAAGCGGGGTACTACAGGGCAGTGTATTGGGCACACTGTTGTTTGTTTGCTTCATGAATGGCACGCCTGACGCTGAACACTCCTCCATACAAATGTTTGCGGATGACGCCAAGTTATTTCGGGAAACTAAAAACCAAGCAGACTGTGAAGAGCTGCAGAAGGATCTCTGTGAGCCTCAAGAATGGTCGAACAAATGGCTGATAACAGTATCGCGAAGTGTAAGAGGCTGCACCTGGGACACCCCCCCCCCTCCAAAAAAATCAAATCATTGTCCGGTTACTGACCTGTGGGGAAACTGTCCCCGGCCGAAAATAGAACCTAGAACATAAAGTGAGAGACATGCGCGTGTCCGTGTGATCTTTTACCGTTTATTTCAGTCATTTGTCATTTCACCCCTTGCCAATCGAGGCGGTTGTTCCGTTCTGTTACTCTGTTATGAGTGTATCTGTCCTGTGTTAGCATAGGAGGAAACAGGGAGTACCCGGAGGAAACTTGTCATGATGTTTTGGTATGTACTGTAGAGGTTGGATAACACCCTTCTCATGGCTGCCTCCCTGCAAACTCGAACCCATGACATGACTTGGAGAGACACGCCGTTACCGCTGTACTATAAAAGTATTTCATCCTATTAATGAAAGTTTAAAACTCGTTGACGTAATAATTTGATTACTGGGCTTCGAGAACTAAGGCCGTTATGCGTGTAACGAGGCTAGTAACTACATTAGTGTGTCAATAATTGAAAATTATGACAAAACTCTGGATTTAACTCCATCTAATGTACCGAAAGACCTGACTGACTGGAATATTGTTTAAATTGCTCTAATTTTGTATGATCCTTTAAAAGATAGGTCTATTGAGTTAAGATGTTACGGCAGGTATATCATGTGGTGAGTTATTATATAAGTTTAACTCAACTCAGAGATTTAAATTTCGAATCCACGCGGGTTAACCTAAGTTTTAAAAATGTTATCTAAACTGTTCAGAAATTAACTTTGTCTTTTGTTTCAGACACATAGCTTATGATAAACGTAACGCTTGTATGTGTTTAATCTAAATTAAAAAAATAAATAAATCTTTTTGTAACTATACCTTCAATGTTGTTGATATTAAAATCAATGGGTCTTAGGGGACAGCAGTTGAAATATTATTGGAACAAAAACAAATACAGTCATGGCAGACATACCGCCGAGCAGACAAGAGAAGTCCCTGGGGTTATTAACGTCTAAGTTCGTATCTCTTCTTCAGGAAGCCGAGGATGGAGTCCTGGACATTAAATCTGTGAGTAGACATAATAAAGGCGGCTGGTCAAGGTGTGTTAGAGCGGGGGTGAGACAGCTTGGTGGGCGCCGCTCACTCCTCTACCACCACCCAGTTAACACATTGCTTCTGTTAAACCTTCATCCTGGACCAGTGTGTGAGGCCCTGTATTCTCTTTTCGGCAAGGCAGAGACGTTTGATGACCTGAACGTGGGTGGTGGTTGTGTATGTAAAATTGAGTGAGATATATTCGCCATTGTTGGGCGACATTTTGCTGTAACACCATTTGTTAATGCTAGGGTCAGCTTATGTGACTATGACCGCAGCGTTATAAGTGGTAGAGCAAAAGATAATTGTGTACAAATAGTATGACATATATACACATGTTATAAACTGTAGGCACAGGATATTCTGTAGGTATGGCCTTTCTGACTAACCTAACCATATACAATACAGTCCGTCAATACAGCTGCCATGCCTAGGTCTACTACTTTCTCTGTCTGTCGCAAATTTCAATTAAAAGTGCTAATTAACATTAACTTATGTATGAGTAATTTGCGATAGAAATGAATGTCGGATCCAAACAATTCTCACTAAAAACCATTGGGAAAAAAATTTGAACGTGAAAACGAGTGAACTTGCACTTAATAATAATTTACCCAAGTTCCGTTATATCGAGGGTCCGTTAGATGTGAAGCCTCCATCAGGTGAATTACTGCTATATAGAGATGTTAGTCTATTATACTGAAGCTCCATTAGATATGAAACCGGTAATGATGCAGTTTACAGCAACCACAGAATTCTGGAAATTCACTACACTCAATCGATAGAACAATTTTTTTCTATGATAATTTTCTTATATTACACTTCCGTCACAAATTGATAATAAGGAAGTTATTGAATTTTAAAAAGAATAAAATCAGAGCACCCGTTGCCCCTACGCTGGTGCTCAAATTGTGCGTTCGTACGTTTGCGCATGTGTTGGGGGCGGCCGCCAATCAAATCGGGGATGGCTGCAGCCAATCAAATCCAATAAAAAATCTCAACTTTTGATTCAACCAATTAGCGTTCAATATTCGGTGTGGGTGGTAGGATGCGGGACATTTTTAATTAGTTGCAACATGGAGTCATGATGTGCTGGGTGCGATTTCGATTATTTTAAGTTTATTGTATTATTTAATTAAAAAAATAAGGAAACATTAGAGAACAGAGGAACCCACGACGCATTCTGGGCCCTGACTCGGAGTAAGGTAAGAAATACTCTAATGGTTATTTTTATTGTCGTGGCGGCTGACCACGTGATTCTAGGGTGCTCTGCACATGCACAAACACATAATCACATGACAAATCATTTGGATGCAACCAAAAGTTGCAGAAAAGTAACTTTATACAGTAAGACCCCTGTAGGGGGGGGGACATCAGTTCCCGCATTTTTGTTGTGACCACTGCTCCACTGTGCAATTTATTGTTTTTGTTTCTAGTGTATAATTATGGCCTCTAAAGCAAGTACAGAACAATAAAGGCAAAACAATACCACTGAGGACCACTGGGGGAAAAGGGATGGTGCTCAAACTATACCAGTTGAAAAAAAACTGAAAATAAGATACAGATTTGATGCTGGGGTCTCCGTGAACAATATCTCTTATGACATCAGCTAGATTTAAGTGCATATTAAATAATTGTAACTAAATAGAAGTCCAATCAGGAAATTAAGCTAAGTTGGGTCTGGTTAGTATTGTACTTGGATAGGTGACCGCCTGGCCCTAGGAACACAAGATGCTGCTGGCATAAGGACCCTACTGTAAATAAGCACCTGTACAGTAATTATATATGTAGTATATATAAGTGTGAATACAGTATATGTATTGTAAGCAACCCCCATCTTCCTCCACAAGATTTCTCTGCTACAATAAAAATGAGTGCTGTATAAATGTATACTACTGTATTAACTTTAATTTTGTTTTTGGAAGTAATTTTTCAGCAAAATTATGGTTGAAAGCACCCAGGTTGGGAACTTATACATAAGTCGGAATTCTAGATACGCGAAACAGACTCAAGCCCCATATAGTCCGACTTAGAGAGGTCTTAGTTTCAATTGATGGTGAAGGCCTTGTTTGTAATGTACACATTGCTGTAAAGAACTTAACAAATGACTGCTTAAATGCTTTTGATGTTTCACAGGCTGCTGATCAACTGGCCGTACGACAGAAGAGGAGAATTTATGACATTACCAATGTGTTGGAGGGCATTGGGCTAATTGAGAAGAAGAGTAAGAACTCTATTGTGTGGAAGGGTGGGGGGCCAGGCTCCAACACCCAGGAATTCACAGACCGAGCCACCATGCTAAAGGAGGAAATATCTGAACTTGACCAGCATGAGAAGATGCTTGACCAACACAGACAGGTTGGTTCACTGTCTTCAGTGTGAGATATAATTTGAGGGCCCTAAATAATATTTATCTAATCTGATTGAATTTGAAACTGAAGAATTCCATGATATGAATTTATTTTGTATTAGTATTAAATGTGGACTCCATGTAGCTAGGACTTTGACGAATATAGATGTGGAAGTAAACTTATCAAGATATCAGTTTTCACCATAACTTGCATAAGATGAAGAAAATTTATTCTAATCAACATAATATTGTATTAGCTTGCTCATAATGACTGCAGTATGTACAGTGTTAAATTTTAGTCAGTGTGATAGTTCTTTTTTTTTTTAATTATTTGGTGGTCTGGTACATCTTGATTAGATTTCGTTAAAGACACTGTAAGAGCGATAAATAGTACTGTATGACTATGATAGCCAGACCAGCTTGCAGAATTTTTGGGAAACTATTTTTTTTGTGGCTATTATTACCTAATGTCTGCAGTTGTCTGATCAGTGTTAATTGTAAGTAATTCTTAAATGAATTATTTGAGCATATCTTGTAATATTATAGTGGAGTGGTCAGGATCATTCAAATGATAAATTTTATTCAGGTGTCAAATATTGGCAAGGCACAACATTCACACCTATGTTGAATTGTATACCTGAAAGCTATATATCATCTCCCAACAGTATGTACAGCAGAGTATAAAAAACATCACTGAAGATCTAAGCAATTATAAAATGGCATATGTGAATCATGAAGACATCTGCAGTTGCTTCCAGGGCGATACATTATTAGCTATACAGGCACCCTCAGGTACCCAGTTGGAGGTTCCCATTCCTCAGGTGGTTAGTATACTATTTTTTACTTTACTTTTATTGGTATAGTCCCTGCCTTTAACCTTTTGATAAATATAAGAAAACCTAAAACAGTTTTAAGTTTATTTTTGAAGAATGATATGCCTGTCTACCGATAATCTCTACAGATGATGGTCAGTGATACAGTTATTCCAATGTTCACAGGTACATGGTGAGAAGAAGTACCAGATTCACCTGAAATCAGAGAGTGGGCCAATTTATGTACTGCTAGTCAACCAGGACCAGGATCACTCCCCACCTCTGGTGGTGCAGGTTAGTCTTACCACAAATATTGACACTGTCTACAATAAAGGTTTTGAAGGCTTACATTTGGATTTGTCATGTGCTTCTTCAAGTTTCAGAAGACTAGACACCTGGACAGGAGGGTGTACCTCCAACTCGGCCCATTCCCAAAATTGGCCAATCTTAAATAACCAACTCGGCCCACCTCTCACACTTCAAAGAAGTAGCTGACTAGAGGTTCAGGAATGAGTTTGAGATATGTTTTATGTCTCTTTTTGGTTCATTGAAATACGAAGAGTGTGAATGAGTAAATACCGAGGGTTCAATTGGTATGAAGGAGGAATTTTATGAGTTTATGTTAGTAGAACTTGATCAATGAACCGTGATTCACATTCGAACTTGTGCTTCTCCAGGTGATTTCGAATAGGGTTTGAAATTATAGCTTCCAGCAATTTGCCTACAATTGATGTTAAACTGATTGGACAGTAATTAGAGGATCTATCTCCCTTCTTGAAAATCGGTATCAAATTTGCCATCCTTCAGGATTCTGGCACTACACCCGTTTTTAGTGACATGTTAAAAAAATTTGCTAAGGGCATACTGAGCTCTTCCTTACATTCCTTTAATACTCTGGCAACTATCTCATCGGGACCTGGTGACTTATTAGGCTTTAGTTTGTCTATTTGCTTACTAACATCGTTATTAGTCACTTCTATCTCGCGTCGGTGCCTCGGGTATCATGTTTAAATTTTCGGTGGTGAAAACTGTTGAAAAATATTTGTTCAGATTATTGCTCATTTCTCCGTCGTTGACAGTTAGCTAGCCGGTATTGGTCCAATTTTGTCTCATATTTTAATTTGATACATTTGAAAGAATCCCTTGGGGCTTAACTTTGCCTCCCTTGCTACATTCAGTTCATTATTCTTCTTTGCCTTTCTTATCTCGGTTTTAACCCTACTGGCCAATACCTTATACCAATCTCGGAGGTAAACTTCACGATTTATTCTCCAACCTATAGCCTTCTTTTGGCCAATAATATTCTTTAAAAAATTATTTATCCATTTGGGGTCATTGTTGTTTGATCTGAGTTTTCTGTATTGTATGTTCTGCCTTTGTGCATTAAGTAACTCATTATTTAAATTGTTATGAGACTCATCGACCTCAGATCTTGTAATCAGGTCATCCTCAACCGTCATATTTTGTGAGGATCTCCAGGTAAAGTGGGGTCGCTTTCTGTGGGTACATTGTTGTGGAAGGAATGTCAACCTAAGATCTCTTGATCAGGTTATCCTCAACCGTCATATTTTGTGAGGGTGTTGTTGTCAGGTTTCCAGGTAGAGTGATCTTAATTGTGAGCTAAATAAAAAATTATATATATATATATATATATATATATATATATATATATATATATATATATATATATATATATATATATATATATATATATATATATATATATATATATATATATATATATATATATATATATATATATAAAGAAAAAAAGTTCACCTCTTCCACATATGTACATTAATTTATTAATAAGATAGAATGAAAAGATAAATAATAACAAATAAATTCCTCCCCCTTATAATCTATGCTGCTTTTTATCATTGTACTTTTATCATTCATGCAAAAATGTGTAAACTTTTACCTTTTAGTCTGAGTTCGTTAACCTAAGTGGTTCGAGTTGGTTATCCGAGATGGTCCGAGTTGGACTGTAACCGGACAGGAGTACCATAGATGGCAGTGAGACATGGAGCTAGTTTACAATGTGTGTCAAAGGATAAAAATAAGTGGTTTAATATGTTTGTGCTGGGTTATTGGAACCCCACGAGACTGTTGTTATTATACTGAACTGTTTGGGATTTGGAATTATGGGAAGGAGGCTGGTAGTCGAAAATTAATCTCTTCATTGCTGTTTCCCAAATATATAACAAAGGATATTAAAAGGCGTTGGACTAAGAGAGAGCCCTGCAGGTTTCTTCTTAACAAAGGTTGATTACTGTGTGGGATGTCTACTTACTGTATGAATATGAACTGCCCTCCTTTCTAGTAAGATAAATTCACACAAAGAAATTGACTAAAATGAATAAGTTGCCATCAAGCACATGAGTAAGGCTGAGTACTAAGATATACCCAGTTATGGGGACTAGCTACTTAAACTTAGAGTTTTCCATCAAGTTTGGGAAGATTACAGGTTTCTGCCGCCAGCGAATCCAAACAAAGTGTTTCATAGATATCCGTTTTTAGAGGTCTTATATAACCTGGGCAGGCCAAGGCACCATGTAAATCAATTGAAATATGGAAGGAGGAATACTCGATCTGAAAATGTGTTTTAAACCATTTTTTTTGTACAGTATACCTTGGTGTTATTTTCTTATTAAAATAATGCTATTCTTGTATTCTTATGGTAGGTTCCACCTCCATCTACCATGATGAAACAAGAACCAGAAGGAAGGGGTGTGAAGAGAGTAGCCCAATCACTTCCCGTCCAGCAACCTACATCACGTCCTCGTATAACTCCTCAGAAAGGCGTCACGGCTCACACTCCAACAGCACCAATCCCGTCACATCCAGAGGTAAGCTCCATTGACTATATATATACACACCTCAGTGAAAGGGTGGATTGACAACACTTGGGTGTATCAGTCGGAAAAGTCCCTAACTGTGCCTATTAGATGGGGATTGCAATGAAAAACATCTCTTGGTCAGTTTCTTATTGTAAATTAATATTACCTTGGATTATATGTTCAGTACTTAAATTTTGTCTCTCACAGGGTGGTGATGTTGCAGAAACTGCTACAGTATCTCGTAGAGTGCCTCGTAAGGCTTCAGCAGGAGTTAGTAGTGTAACAGAGGCTTTGGCACCCAGAAGAGCACGCAAAAGACAGGAAGCAGCAGCTGCAGCCGCAGCAGCAGCAGCAGCAGCAGCAGCGGCACAGTTGTCTTTGGCCAGTAAGTGACTATGCTTATGGATGCATTATGCAGCTTCCAAAGACAAGTCATGTAATAAAAAATTTAATGAACAGATGCCACTTGTTGCTGCTGCCAGCATTGATGTTTTTTACATTATTCATGAATATTACTCAGGTATTGCTGTACAGTAATTGCTCCCATTTGCTCAGTATTGCAGTTCTCTAACCACTAGACTTCATATCTTTTGGCCATACACATGTTTGTGTAAACTACTGTAGTTCACATCACTGTTGTCCTTCCAAGTGAGCTGAGGCCATCTACAGCATTCTACACAATATCATATTTACTAGTTTTATTAAAGAGGAGCGAGTATAAGACTGATTAGTTTCTGTAGGTAAATGAGCAAAGGAAGGTACAGCATTTTGCAGGGCTGTTATATCCTTTACTTGCTTAGGTGGTGGTGAAATGATAAACCTGATCTTAAGGAAATTTGTTTGAACCTTTAGGCATTCTTAGGGAAAGGCTTGGTAATTAGATTTATCACTATAGATTGAAAAAAAATAGTGTACTATATATTTATTTATTATTTCTCCAGGTGATGTAATGGTAAAACGTGAGCACGTTGAGGAACCGCTTCCAACCCCCATCGCCAATATCAAACAGGAGCGTCAGGAAGAAAGTCTGGCTACATCTCCCATTTTTTCCCGTACTTCAGGTATGTCCATTTGTTCTGTTGTCATCTGTACCTGAAGTTATGGTTAATGTTACAGTTAAGTATCTGTCAGCTGAAAAGTTTGGGACTGAGAGGCTTGTGTAAGATGGGTAATTACACAAGGTGGATATTACTGTGAACATGTGGCCAAGGAAAGCAATTGTGTCATCTTGATTATACGAGTACAGGTGTATTATTAGTTTCTGCAAGTAACTTACTTTATTTTTCTCTAACTCTCATTGTGTTTGGTTGTCTGTGATGAAAACTGTTCAACCGTGATTTTATGCTTTAAAAGAACATCCGACGTGGTAAATACCATGAGATTTGAATTATGTTTTTGTAATGGTAAACATGAATTTCTGTCCAGTACAGTCCAGTCATCTCGAAAAGTCTGTGTCTCCTCCGAACTGAATTGGCATCGAATCAAAATGTGAGAATGCAGTGGTAGGTGTGCTGAGGCCATGAACTACATATTCTGTACCAGTGAACAGTCTTGGTTATAATGACCCTTACCAGAGGTTTAGAAAGTGGCAGGTAGACGGAAGTTTTGAGACTATTGTGGAAGGAGAACACCGTACCAGAGAAAATGAATGATAGATAAGTCAGTTTTCCTTAATCCTGGCCACCGTGCACTGGGAAAGTCGTAAGTGCGGGTGGACGTAAGTCGAGTAGGCCGTAAGTTGGGGAGTGGCTGTATATACAATACAGGTAAAAGAAATAATTGTCCTAAGAGCAAATACGTAAAGGAAATATACATTTCTTTGTACACAAGTAAAAAGTCCCCCCCCCCCTCTTTCCCGGCCCGCAAATGTTATTCGCGGATTTGGCGATTCGCGACCATTTGAGAACCTAATCTCCGTGAATTTGGGGGGTCCCCTGTACTTAATATGTTACAAGATTGCCAGACTTGATTTGCTACTATTCTTGTGCATTAGAAATGAAGATCAGGATGTAATGGTTATTTATTTATTTGTTTTTAGATACAATGTTGTCAACTATCGGAGAAGGTTTGGTCGAAGAGCTAATAACAGCAGAAAGTGAGTACAGTACAGTACAGTATTATATATATTTCTAGTCTTGTGTGTTTACAGTTGTTGGTAACAGTATCTGGTAAAAAAAGGGTGAGATAATAGTGTATATTAGTAAATATTATTATGTGTACTATGATTTTTTCTCTCACCTGTGTGTGTATGCAAAGAAAAGGGACTTTTGCCTATAACTAATGGTTTCCTTACTCCCCCCAGTGTTTGCACCTTTACTACGACTGAGTCCACCGCCATCAGAGCGAGATTACATGTTCAATTTGGATGAGACGGAGGGCGTGTGTGACTTCTTTGATGTTCCAATGTTAAGTTCACTTAGTACAGATTTACCGTGAATTTTATGAAATTTAAAAAGGAAAAAAAAATATTCTGTAGCATTAAGTGGATAGACAAGCACTTGCAAATCTCATTGAGGGCAAATGTTAGGTCTTTTGTATGGCAGAAATGAACCACATATTGAGATGATCAAATGGTTCCTGGGGTTGACCAAAGGCTTAAAGAAGTATATTTAACAGTCCAAACAGTGTGGTATTCTATACTGAAGAGGTGTTTGCTAGTCTGGGTTCCTAGATAAGTTAGTGAGGGCAGAATAGTTGAGCATTAACTGGTCAGTAAAATATCTGTGTTGAGAATTGTTAGTTTGTCCAGTATGCACAAAGGAAACAAAAGGTATTTTGAGAATAGAGATGCATTAATATAAAAAATTAAAATGTTATATTTGTAGGAGAGAAACTGGTTAAGATTTTTTCATTTATTTATCATTTTTTATTTATTTATTTATTTATTTAATTTTTTTTAAGGGTGTATGAACAGTTTATCTTATGACCAAATTATCCTATGTGGGTCTACCAACGTTTTTTTCTTCACATGGCATGGATTAAAGGTCTTTCATAAGTGGTCCCTCGGTTAACGAACACAATTCGTTCCAGAAAGTCGTTTGTTAACCAAAAATTTTGTTAACTGAATCCATTGTTTCAATGGGATATTGGGTAATTGGTTCCAGCTCACTGAAAAGTACATACGAAATAAAAAAAAAATGCAGTAAAGTACACTTACTTTGAGGTGTGTATGTAGAAGGCTCCTGGTTGATGATGATGATGGGAATTAGAAGTGGGGTGGAGGAGAAGGGAGAAGAGAAGGAAGTGGGGATGGAGGAGAAATCACCTTTAAGTGGAACCATCCTTGATGCCGTCATTTCACCAATAAAATTTTAAGTTCACTAGGTGTAATTCAAGATTATTTTCTTTAAATCAACACTGCACTGTGCTATATATTATCAATATGTTAACTAAATTTCAGAATGACCATTAATTTCAATGAAAAATGCAAAAACATTCAAGACACCAACAAAATAGATGTTCACTCCACTGTTTTCGAAGCCAAACTGACGCCTTGTGGCTGAGTCAAGCTGCTGATGGGCGCACAAAGAACTAGTTCCCTGTACTGCATATATTATCAATATGTTAAATAAGTGTTAAAATGACTAATAATTTTAATAAAAAAAATGCAAAAATATTAAAGAGCACAACTTTATTGATATTTACTCCACTGGAAACAAATGAAAACATAGAACAGATTACTGAATTGGCAGACTAGCCCATCAGCTGATGCTCACAATAAAACGTGATGTTCGTAAGGATTTCGTTAATCAAATTTTTTTTCATTAACTGAATTGAAGATTCTTATGGAAGGTAATTCGTTAACCGAACCGTTCGTTAAGCGAGGGACCACTGTATATACTGTATATGTCTGATGTATTGTAGGTTATTGATTATGATCATGAGTGTCAGATGGAAAAGTGTTAGCTCTGTCTGGAGCATGAGATCCCACCCACAATTTTAAGATTTCCTTAAGTTGATGTGTGCGTGTGAAAGCTTATGATAATGTAGACGTTCTGCAGTTGGGTTTAAATATCGAAGTGAGAATGTTTAGGAGTGTAAGAATCCATATCTTGTTGATGATTGTTATTATGATATATATTTTTGTGATTCAGTAAAGCCATGTATCAGCTATAGACCGAGTCATGGTCAGGGATTTTCTGATAATCTTAAAAATCAGAGTTAGATTGTACAACCTATTTTTTTGCTTAAGCTGTAGACGTCCTCACCTAGTCATTACTACGGATTGTTTGCCTCTCTTCTGTTTTAATTTATTATAGTATGTGTCTCTGTGATGGTAATTCTTTTCATTAAGTTGTAATAAATTTTAGGCTGTTTGTTAGAATTTCAGGATATTGACAAAAATGATTCTTTAAGATTCATGAGTTCATAACTAATTTTGTGGTAAAAGAATATCTTAGAATTTGTGCAGCTGAAGTTACTGACATTATAGTGAAGGTTAAATGATTAATTTTGCGTTCAATTTAATGATTGCTGAATTTTTTGTTCTCGGTAGCAAATATTTAGCATAAAGCAGGATGATTGGTTGACCTGTTATGTTTACTGTTACGTAAACAGTAGATGAAGAGTCTGGTGATTGACTTTTTATTAAGTCAGAAGTAACTGTGATGATTAAGTTATGCTAAATATCTTGTTCATATTTATTTAAGGACTATAGGTGTATTGTGGTTCAATTAAGAAATAGCATCACTCATTTTTATTGCCTTTACCAAAGCGAGGTTTGCCACTCACAAGGAAACGTTTCATATCAGACTATACGTGGTATATGACTTTTGTGTCAGAATATGCTCAACGTGTAAACTTGGACTAGGAACCTTTCAGGATATTGCCAAGACCAAAGACTGCTATTTAATTGACAATTAGGATGGGCTTAACTGTGTGAACACAGTTCATAAAAATAGAGATCTTGCCACCTTGTAAGCATTTCTGGGTAATTGGTGTCAAGCTCTTGTTACCTTGTAATTAATGCTGGTTTCTAGATGTCAAAAATTTGCCATCTTATAAACATTGCCAATTACAAGGTGTCAAGAGCTTGCCACCTTGTGAACATTGCTAATTGCATGGTCTTAAGTTTTTGCCACCCTGTGCACATTATGAGGTACAAGGTGTCAAATTTTGTCACCTTGTAAACCTTGCCAGTTACAAGGTGTCATTACAAGTAGTACAAAGTCCGGCTGCAGTATTATTGTGAGTTCACCGCTACTGGCACCACTGGCACGAAGACATTGATAATGAGTTTTTTTTTATTGATTTGAAATATCGATATTTTAAGTAACTTCTGAATAAGCTCTATGAAAGATCATTGGCCAGCAAGCCAAGTAGAGTTGGGCCCATTATCAATCTGGAGCTACACATCTGTAAACATAGGTTGACTTGCTTGGTTGTTTGTGACTAGCTTGTGCTACATGCACTTCGTATATATTTCCTGACCAGTGTCGCCCAACGTCGCAGTTTGGTCTTATATCTAAGCCGGCAACTTTTATTTTAGTAGACCAAAGAGTCTGAGGAGAGTTTTCAGCGGTGAAAAAATATTTATTACGATTGTCAGATCCTTAATAAGAAATTCTTTTTAGTTTATAATTTTAAAAGTTTTTGTAAATTAATACCCGGTCTGGAATATTGCCGTTTCTGATGGGAGGTACGACTGCTCATTTTTTTATTATTATTCTTATTATTATTTAATTTTTTTTTTTTTTTTGTAGTTAAAATCCTCAAGCTAACATGGCCACCTTCAAGAACTTAACAAGTTACAGAAATCATTCCTTTTGGTGGTTAGTTTGGTCAGGGTTTTTTCTTATTCCCTTAATTTTTCTCTTGTGTTTTTAATTTAAATTTAGTTGATGTGAAAAGTTTATTAGTTCATACCATGTATGGAGTTGATGGGATATATTTATATGCATCACCCTAGTTCATTGTTGTAATGTGTGTGTATTGAATCACATTGCCAGAAAAGGAGTTGATGTGTTTGATATCACATTCCAGGGTCTATAGCTAAATTAGCTACAGAGGGTCCATGATTGTTACAGATGTGTTGTGTAATAAGGGTCCATACTACTGCATATTGTGTCATACCTAAAGAGGAAGGCCCTTAATCTCATGTTTTTGTCCTATCTTATGAGATTTTTTAATGCTTAAAAAGTGGAAAAATGTTTTATGCTAAGCAGTTGTTCATTTACACTTGTTTAATAAAGGAAGCACATTTAGGAAAAATTTTCAAGAACAAATGTTTATACAAATAGTACTGAAGAGTTGGTGGAATTCAGGTGTATATTCCCCTGATGTGAGTGATGAGGTGTTGTAAACCTCCTCTCAGTGAACTGTTGTTGGTACCGTCCATTTTATGGTCACTTGCTGAAAATCTACAAGTACGGTAAAGTCTCCCCTAACTGGAAGAATTTGTTTGTTGCAAGTTTGGTTACAGGGAAATTTCGGTTACTCAAATGTTACCTTATCCAAACAAAAGTATCATTATACTGTTCATGATATTTTTCAATAACTCATGCAATTTTCCAGATTATAATTACACAACCAACAAAACTTCTCCCATATCATTGGAAAATATTGGTGAAAGATTTATAAAAAAAATAATAATGAAGCACACTCCATGAATACCACTTGTTCTGTACTTTAATGTTCACAGCAGTACATTTAAACCTAATCCATACAGTAAAATTATACCAAACTAATGGAATTTAGATACATAACAGTAAAGGGTATTGTTTTCTATTAAAGGGTGTAGAATTATAAGTGTCCTATTGTAGGCACAGTCTCTGCAACAATTACTTTGTCGAAGTTAGCAGTACTCAGTCTGGTTCTACATAAATTTTCTTTTACTGGCTGTCCTGGCTTAGCCTTTTAGGATTGTTGCTACAACATTTTTCAACCATATTGTATATCATGATGGTCACTTCCCATATTATTTTCCTTTATTAGTATGTTCATGAACTCTACATTTTTAAAAATCATTTCAGTGTCAACATGGGTGTTACTTAGGCATAGATCATTTGTTACTTAATGCACAGAATAAAAAAAATTCAAGGGGGAAATCTGAGTGCCACTAAACATTTAAATCAAAAGAGCAGACAAGGGGACTGTAAAGGTCAAATGGGGAGAGTAAAAGAGGGTGCTGGCCAGTGAAGGAGAGAAGGGAACCACACTATGAAAGGTTGTGACAGCCAATCTGTGCTGTAACCCACCTGCCAAAATCAAAGCACAATGTGTATTAGCATGTTTACAGATTACACTGAACTGGATTATTTCATGAGTAACTGAAATGAGGGAAACCTCAGAAATAACGGAGAGCTTCCAAATCCATTTTTTGGATGTTTTTGCATAAGGGAGACTTTGCTGTCTTGTGTACAGTATTTAGTATATGGTGTACAGGAAATGTATATTTTCCTGTGTTTAATACACTCAAGATACAATATCCTGTGGTTGCCTAAACCTTGGGACAAACCCACAGAATATAATTTATCTACACTTTGGTTTCAGAGTTAATAAAGTGTATATGAAATAGTTTCATAAGAGAAGTGTAACTAATGCTGTTGAAAGTTGTCCCTTGATATATTACATGAAACATTGTACAGAATCTTGTTTGTATGTTAGAAAGATAGTTATTACAGTTTAGTTTGGGAAGCATCAGTGGATATTTTCCTTTAAGTGAAATGGATGGCTGCAAGCAGAATGGTTCACAATAAAGCTTAATTATTCAATAAAACTCCTGAATAACTGTAGAAGCTTCCTGCTCCACCACTTGTGTGGCCAATATTTCCCAGTTTTCTACAGCACTGAAGAAATCATTTAATTTAGCACGGAGGGAAAAACAGTAACATTTCAGGTTTTAGTACAGTAGTACTCCTGCATGGTTTTCTTATAAATCAAAGGTACAAAGTATTATTACGTTATTTTCTCTAAGGTGTATTTAACGGTAACTTATGACAAGCCTGCAAATTCTCGATAATATTCTGTAATTAACCCCCTCCATTCTCCCCTCTCCGCCCCACAAAGGAAAATTAAGCAAACGTGTTTTAATTTTTTCCTGCTTTTTTTCCCGCTATTGAATTTGCCTCATTTTTCTTGTCATATTGTAAATGGTATTATGACTTCAGTTTCA